TTTCAGTCGCTACCCGGATTCGAACCCGGGACCTTTTGAATGAGAGTCCAACACCTTAACCTCTAGGCCACGAGAGCCCACATTCAGATCAACTTACCTCTATAATCCTGGAATCTCTATCTGCTATTACAGTTACTTGTTATACTAAGTATGCACGTAATACACTGTTGGACACTATCATATGCAATTTTTTTCCAACTAATCAGATGTCGTCCATCTCATATAAATGGGCAGGGAAAAACAAACAACAAAAACAACAACAAAACGAATTCTAACAGACCCATAGATTAAATAATGTTGATTAAATAGTGTGCTGACTGCTTCAGCCCTGGTTGTCTGGGCTAACCCGAACTGGACAGGGTACAACATCCCCGCCGAGTGACGCATATTATGCTAGAAAACATACTTTTTTTCCTTCACCGGATCGAACTCTCCTCTTCTGCTTGAGAGACTAGTAGACTAACCATAACGCCAGAAAGCCGATGAAGTATACAAGACAAAACAAAACAAAATAAAAAAGCTTTTAAGATCTGATTAAAAACATTGTTTTAACAAATCATGCTCAAGAACTGATGGAAAGACTCAAGCTGAAAAGAAATGAAAGAGATCGGTGATAAATTGCTGTAAGTTTTTTAGAAAAACCTTTGTTAATGTTTGACATAAAACGGTTATTTTACATTATTTTTAGTATTTTGACTTCTAAAAAAATATTTGTTCTGTTATAAAATAGGTGTGCTCCCCCCTGCAGTATCACTTTTACCGAGATGCCATCTTTTCCCTCTCTTATTTGTACTTCACATTTTACGCTTCCCCATTGTATTATTCTTTTTTTCTGTATAATATTATAAAGTGCTTCTTTTAAAAACATGTTTGAAGAAAATCCTCACTTTTCTTCTTTCTTGAGAGAACAAAACAATTGCACCCGTCTTATCTCGTCCGACTTCCCCGACCTTTCTGATATATTCTTCCTGTTTTGTTTTCTGGAAATGTGTTTTCAAGATCAAGAACTAGAACTTTGGCCAGCAACGTATTCTTTCCTAAGTTGGCACAGAGTGCATAATTTCTCTCAAAGACAAAATATCCAATTCTTTTCCTTTTCCAAAAATATTTCAGAGTAGGACATTGTCTCCCGGTCGGTGGCTGTAACTAGCTTATTTACATATTGCCAGCTTCCGGTTTCCCCTCTGCTTGTGACAGCTCCACTTCTCTCATGGCTGGATTCCCCCAGTCTTGAATATGCATTTCCTTTCAGAATGCATCTTGAACTGAGTACGAGGATCTTTTCCTTTATACTTTACATTGTTTATGACTTACAAAATAGAGATATAATGTCCTTGAGTGTACACCCTATTTGATGCAACCCCTTTGCTTATGAAATTGGATGTTTTTCAGCTGTGTTTCTGCGTCTAAATTTGACATTTCTTGAACTTTGTGCTTTCTGGCCCTTCTCTACATTGTAAATAGTGCTCAGATAGAGCCTTTGGCGGAAGCAGAAAGTGATTCAGTGACCTAATTCGACATCGTTAGTCTTAAGTAGGTACAAGCTTGCAATATTCTTTTCGTGAACTGTGGTGAAGATTGCATGTAGATCAGGCTTTGTCACACCAAGATAGTTACGCCATCTGCATACCTCATAATGATGTGAAAATGTATTAGTATATTAGCAAAAACAGAAGCACATCGACACAAAAAGGATCGTTTTTGCACAGGGGCAAAAAGACATAGATACAGAATGTACAGAGGAACGATAAAGAAAGAGGACCAATATCACTCTGTTAGAACCCGCAAGTATAATATTTGTGACGTCACAACCACACTACAAAATCGGTACGATCACATTTCTATTGGGACTAGTATACATCACCAACCCTCCCCCCAACCCCAAACCCAGTTACGTCGGGCATAACATTCTTATCACTTTCACGTGATATTGCTTTTGAAGAATGGTGTATTTTACGTATAAAGAGCAGCAGTTGCAAACAAACAAAAATCTCTGTCTTTAAATCCATATAAACATCATCATGATGGCCAGAGCCGACTTACTGTAGCGGGTAGATTGCCAAGGACATCTATAGCAGGAGTGATGTATCTGTTGCAGCCATCTTTATTGATTGTTTTATGTTATAAAAGGAACATGGCATTGGGGGAGGAGGGGAGTTACAAAGTCTCATGAAAAAATATCTGCAAAAATGGGTGGCTTTGGGGGAAATGTTGTTCATCGGTCTACGAATGGCTCGCTTGACTTTTCTACGGACACAAATCTAACTCTTTAGTGCCATTTTTAAATGATGTAGTCAGTGTCGTCCGTGGCCAAGTGGTTAAGCTTTCGGACTTGTGACCGTAAGGTCGTTGGTTCCAATCCTGTCAGGGGCCCGACGTTTTATTCTTGGGATAAGCATTTTTTAATGAATTTTCTTCACCACACCCAGATGGGAATGAGTACCCAGCAATATATAGCGTAAGATCTTGTCAGTTTTTTTGTGCTTGAGTGTGCATAATCCCAGCATGCACTGTATGCTTCTCGGGAAGCTGAGAATGCTTCTGGATATTCTCAGGGTTTTCTGGGGGTAAAAATAGTTGTAAAGCACGTAGAAAGCGCTGTAAACCGGAGACATGAGCTTTATTAATGCAATTACATGTATTTTCATTATTGGTATTAATAGTATTATTATTATTATTATTATAAGTAGTAGTAGTAGTAGTAGTAGTAGTAGTAGTAGTAGTAGTAGTAGTAGTAGTACCAATCATAAAAATAACGTCCATATGATGACAAAAATGTGAGTGACCTTCTTTGTGATAGTATTTTACGAAACTTCGCGTTTCGAGGAGAGAAGCGTTAGTTACATAGTGTGTTTTCGTTTCCTTGAGTGAAATGACGTCTGTAGTGCTATAGCTAGGTTCTTTGCTATTAAACTTACATGACTTCAGTTAAATTTGAGCATTGGGACGTTGTTTATTCCGTATTTCTATCAGTTTGTTAGGATTCTGAATTTCAATCTGCGGGGCAACTTTGTCCTCTCAAATTAGTTTAACGCAACAGCCCCCTAAATGATCAGGACTGCGTCGATGGGCGCATGACGAACAGTTTAACAATAATCTTTACTCTTAGATTTCCAGGTTCTTTTTTATATTGTCTCCATCTATCAACTGGGATGCTTTATTTAAGCCACCCACCTGCTAAATGATAAATAATCTCAAACATGAGGATGAAGGCGTAAAACATCCAATTTTCTTCCTCAGGTGGCTTGTTCGGGGATGGGGACGAGGATCCAAGCATCGAAAACGCCTTCCGCTACGCTGTCTATAGGATTAACCATAACCGCAAGCTTCTAGCGGACACCAAACTCACCTACGACATTCAGTCTTTGCCTATCAACGATGGATTTGCTGCTTCCAAGAAAGGTAGGTACTTCTAAGTCTACCACGTGCATTCTCTTCTCCTTGAATTGTTATCTTTATAGAACTAGACATCATATTTTATTTAGCAAATGTATTACTGGCTATGACAACAGAAGCAGAAGGAATAACAAGAACGACAGGAACGATAACAGCACCAACAGCAACAACAACAACAATAACAACAACAACAACAACAACAACAACAACAACAACAGCATTAACTACTCTGCGTTGTGGACATCTGCAACGGAGACAAAACAACAGCATCAATCGACTCCGTCGCACCTTAAATTTTTGGGCCACACACATACAAACACACACACACACACACACACACACACACACACACACACACACACACAAACAAATACTTATGCATGCACACAATAACAACAATAACATTTAAGTGCAAAAAGATAAAAACTGGAAAAATAAAAAATAAACTACAGTACCACTGATATTATACTCTATCGACCCTGAGTACGCAACGAAGAAAAGAAGTCAAAAAAAGAATGAGAAAGCGAAACGACAAAAGCACGAAAGAAAGCTATTTCGATTCCTCGTCCTGGTTTTGCCTCGTGCCTCTGATAATATTATTATTATGTCTCCCCCGCCTTTAATCTCGAAAGCCACGCGTTACTACTGCATTAATAATGATGTCCATTTTCTAGCCCTCTCTTTTCTTTTCTTTTTTTTCTTTTTTATTATTTCACATTTTCATCTATTTTACACCTCATATCTTTGTCTTTTTCTTCCCTGATGTTCATCGTGCTTGTGGAGCTGTTTCCTTCTAAAATCTTTTCCCACACTTTTAAAGAAAGACGTGCGTGTGATTTTTGTCGTATTCTCTCCTCCACTTCCAACTCAACTCGGTCTGTCTAACACAAAGTGTAGCTTCGCCCCCTCTCCCCCCCCCTCTCTCTCTCTCTC